AGGAGGCTGGGTGCCGCTTCCTGCGCATGCTCCGGGTCCCAGCCGATCTTCCTGATGAAACAGGATCCCAGCCCACGTGCAGAATACCAGGCCTGACTCCCGGAAGGGAAGCTGGGTCACTGTCTATGAAGATGGTGGTGTTGGGGGGGTGAAGAAGAGGAGGTGATGACAGCCCAAAGTAGGGAGACAATAGGAAAAGGGCAGGTGGGGGATGGCTTCCCCTCCTCCCAGGCATGAACTTAAAAAAAAAGTTTATCGTTCATTTTTTAAAATTTGAAAAGTCTGTGGTTCATGGGTTGCCACTAACTATGAACCACCACGGACCGCCATTTTTCCTGGTTTGTTTCCCCATCTCTACCTCAGGCCTTCTTGGATGGGGCACCAGCCCTTTGAAACCAGCTGCCGTTTGAGCTGTGCCTGGGCCATTCCCTGCCCACCTTTAAGAGGTCAGACGTGGCTCTTTCCAGAAGTTTTTGACGGCCACCTCCAATGAACCTGCCATCTATCTTCCCTGCCTGTCCAATCATAAGGTTGATGTAGTTGGCTAACTGGTCTTGCGATGCCGGAGCTGATGGCTTTATTCGGATTTTATTTTTACTGTTGCTTGATTTATGGTTACCTTAATGATCGTTAACCACCCAGAATAGTGCATGGCACTAATCGGGCGGTATGGAAGCCTAAGAAATAAACAAGGAGAAGGGAAACTCAGGAGATACTCAGCAGTTTCTTTTCAGCCCACACAAACACAGGAGGCGGTGATACCTTTGATTGTCCCACTCAAAATAAAGCAAGGAGAAAGCTTTCCTGGATGAAATCCACTTCTGCAGGCTGTAAGCCCACTCGCTTCATGGACGGTGCAAAAAAAAAGTCCTGAAATTGATGTTACACATCTGGCGGAGAGGGTCCGATATTCTTGCGAGGCGGGACCTCCAATGTCTTTGTAGCAAGGTCTGGAATTTTTACACCCTGGCTCTTGAGACCAACAAGCTGAGAATTACCCTGGGATCACGCCCCACACCCCACACACCCCCCCCAAAATACACATTGCTTGCTTGAAATAGTGTTTCTTTTAGCGGTGGAGATGGAGCAAAACTGGCTTTGATAACGCCGACTTCCTTGGCCATGCAGGAGAGATTAATGGAAGCAAGAGTGGCCCAAAGATTGGACACACTAAACAGCTCTGCTGAAGTACAGCAAGACACACACACACCGCCATATCCGCACAGGATCCGTTTCAAGGCCGACCTCCCCAGATGTTGAAAAACACATTACAGCTAACAATATAGCAAATGCATTTGCTGTTCTAATTGTGTTAGCTGAAATGAGTTTTTCAGATTGTGTGTGTGTGTGTGTGTGTGTGTGTGTGTGTGTGTGTGTGTGTGTGTGTGTGCGCGCGCGCGCTCTATTTTAATTGTTAGCAGTGATAACAATTATATGGTCTCTGGCTCCCTCTAGTGGCCAGTTTGTTAATTTAATCATTAAAAATAGATTTAGGAGATATTTTTCTTTTAATATTTTTAGATCATGGATAAGTGAATCAGCAGATACCAATCCCAATGATAAGGAAGTCCTACTGTACTTGGGGAAGATCAACAGCTGATCTAGAGTTCAGTTTGTTTGGTGTTCATCGTGCCTCTCATCTTGATTATAACAGCCAAGTCCAACACACCTCTTTGAGACAGTACCCCCAATTGTGTTAAAAGTAACAGAGTGAAGACCATTTGTCTAATGGAGGAGCCGCCTAAAATGCTAGTGTTCGATCCTGTGACTTAATTATGACATCACTCTCTGGCCAGCTCTTCTCATGCTTCCAGGAACCCTAAATCATTACAAAGTCTGGAAGAGGACAGTTATATGTATTAAAAAGCAAGATATTTATTAACTCATCATTTATTTCAGTACCGCAATAATTCAAAGTGAACTTGATCAAAGATACATTAAGACATGACTCGTGTAAAGGCATGTTTACTAACTCAGTGAGCCTTCCTGCTTCTTACAAAGTGTATATGAATGCAAACGATAATACTATTGTGAATTTTTGGCATGAAATAAATAGCACTTTCTCCTATTAACTACCAAGATCAGATTCGTTCTGGAATCCAGGGTAAGGATTTTTGAAGTTCCAAAAAGTTGCAGGAAGACATAAATGCAGTTTGGCTTCTCTTGCTGAGAAGAGAATACCCAGTACAGAAACATTCTTACACATAATTATGGGGTTATTTTGCCCAGCCCAGAAATATTCCCTATTGTACCATAAGGCATGACAATACTAGAACTGGCTAACATTATGTCCAGATTGTGACCGCATGCTTCAGAGGGTTAAATCAGATCTTCTCTAGGGACCCCAGTACACTTCCCTGGACCGGCTACTGGGAAAGCCGCCTTAGGTCCCATCCACCCAGAACCTGGAATCCTCTGACACTTCAATCCAAACCTGTTCTAACTTTTGTACACCAGCTCCTCTAAGCTCAAGCAGGTTCAAAGCATCAAAAGGCTGGCACTATAGGAAGGCAGCCTACAGAGAATCCACCATGACCTGCACCTATGGCAACAGAGAGTCATCACAGGTTACTTCTGCATTAGTATGATTTGCATGCCTCATCTTTTTCCAATGGGTGCCCTGCAAACATTTAAAAATGACAGACCCCTCTTCTTTTGGGGGCAGACTTGCCACAAAGTGTTGTTTCAATGGAGAATGTTACAAATCTGCTGTTTAAAAGCTTTTTAAGTTTGTATTCTGGCAGCTTCCTTGACAAACGCTCAAGCTACGAGTGGTAGAGATTTGCTCTCTTATCGCAGTAAGAAATTAAGCAGGCAATCATAGGTCTGGCAGCATCCCCTAACCCAGTGATGGCAAACCTATGGCACGCGTGCCACAGCTGGCACGCAAAGCCCTTTCTTCTGGCACGCGACAAACCTTCTGAAGTGGCTGCAGCTGGGATTCCCCCTTTCTCTTCCTGTTCGGGGTCCTTTAACTTCCTATCCGTCCCCATGATTCCTCCTTTAACTTCCTGTCTGTCCCCATGATTCCCCCTTTAACTTCCTGTCCATTTCCATGATTCCCCTGGAAACTGCCACTTCCTGTTCCAGTTCTGGTCTTCCAGGCAGCACGGTAGCCACTGGTTTCTTCCCCAACCCCTCATTTTGGGCACTCGAGCCGCAAAAGGTTTGCCTCCACTGCCCTAACCTGTGGCTCTCTGGGACAGAGGGCAACACTTCTCACCACCCAGCCAGCGCTGCCAACTGGAGGATTATCAGTTTCAGCGGTCAAAGCTGTCTAGACTGCAGCCATTCTCAACCTTTTTTCCACCCATGGCCATAAGCACAAGAAGAAATAAACAGAGGCCCAATCAGAACTGTGCAAGTTGCATTAACAAATCTTACAAGCCAATGAATGCTTTGAATGTTTTACTTGTGAATTCTGTATTTCATTTTATTCCAAAGGTCTTAGGAAGTGGACTTGATCCATGAACGCTCACATTAAAATATAAAATATAGTGGTGCCTCGCATTACGACGTTAATTCATTCCAACCAAATCGCTGTAGAATGAAAACATAATGCGAAAATAAAAAGCCAATTGAAACACACTGAAACCCCTTCAATGCATTCCAATGGGCTGGAAACTCACAGTCCAGCGAAGATCCTCCATAGGGCGGCCATTTTCGGTGGCTGTCTTGCGAGGAATCCATCCCAGAAAACAGCGGGGAGCCATTTTATTTACCCGGCAGCCATTTTGAAACCGCCGATCAGCTGTTGGAAAATCGTCGTTTTGTGAAGAATCAGTTCCCGAAGCAGGGAGCCGATCACCGTAAAGCAAAAGAACCCTATTCAGACCATCATTTTGTGATCGCAAAAGCAATCACAAAAAAACGTCATCGTAATGCTGTTTTGTCGTAATGTGGGGCAACCGTAAAGCGGGGCACGACTGTAATTAGTCTTCCCTCTAGATTTTGCCTGATAAGGTGGTGTGTCAAGAACTGTTTCCAGTTTACAGCTTCCGTCAAATGTGCCAGAGCTCCCCCCCCCGGGGAGCATGTGACACCCCCCCATCAAGGATGGCTGATCAGAATGCGAAAGACAACCTGTCCTGCTATAGGGAGAGCAGAGAAGCCTTTGCAAATTGCTGGAAGAGAGTTAGCATTATTTTTAAAGACATCTCCTGACCTCCTCCACCTTCCCTGCCATTCCTTCAATTCTCTTTGAGATACATATGGGCGAGAGGTAACAGTTTGTAAGTCCTTGCTGCTGAATTTGAAGAGGTCAAATTACCTGCCAGTAATTCATCAACTGTTTCTCCAAACCCTTCCTTTTCTTTTCAGTGGGAGGTTGTGAGAGACAAAGAAACAAATGCCTAGGGATATATTAGAGTTCATTCATCGCTTTTTCATGGACAACCCAGAATGGACAGCTTTAGAACATTCTGCCCTCATACATAAGGTTCTGCCCGACTAATCCAAGAGACCATTTTTTGAAGAAAAAGGAAAAAAGATCCCACATTTCCTGCTCACACCAAAAGTTATTATTCGGCTACAAACAGGAGCAAGAGATGCATTGTCTTTATTCCGTTCAGTCACTGAGTCATTGATAGTACTAAACTAAAATCACCAGGAGAGTCCCTCTGGAGCAGACCCGACTGCTTGAGACCTCCAAGCTTCCATATACATTTTGGCAAAAAGGAGAACGGTGTGCTACCTGTTACTGCAGCCGGATGCAAGCAACTCTTTGTTCCATGAAGAAGAGAAAGGAGAGGCTTCTCTGATGATGGCAGAATAAAGGAGAAAGTGGAAATTATGCAGGCATTCTTTATGCCTTGCCTCCAATACAACTCATCACAGTGGTTTATCTGGCACCCTACCTGCCACCCAAGCAACTGAAGGCCACCAAAGGTCAAGAAGGAAGGAAGGAAGGAAGGAAGGAAGGAAGAGAAAGGCAGACTCAACATGAGTAAAATTGCGGAATTTACCAGTCTGTTAGCACCTTCCATCCCTCAATAAAATGAGGATCTCGTTGTGCAAGAGTATAAACCCACCACTGATTAAGGGAGAAAAATGCACTCTGTTTAATATAAGAAATTGTGTATTGACAACATACATGTAAAAGCAAAATCTCCATTCATTCATCAGGACAGAAAAATTTACATAGCCAACAGTAATAAATAAGTCACTTAGAAGAAGCTTTAGGAAAAGACAGGCCCCAGATTCTGGAACCCAGCTGTAGTCACCGGGAAGCAGAAAAGTACTTTGGCTTCTGGCTGGAAGACGTGGGGGGGTCTTTGCTCTTTACGTTGGACGTCCTTGGCCAAAGCGAGTCCTAGTCCTAGATTTGCAGAAACAAGTCGAACGAGGTGAGGTTAAAAAAACCATCTGCTGCATCACAGAATTCAAATTAATTTCTGATTATAGCACAGTTTCCTGCTTCATGGATTCCAGGGAACAACTTTATTTGGGAAGGAGATTCTAAGGAGCCTCACCTGCGATCTTCACTGGATCTACATCCAAGGTGGGGAAGGAGTTGCTCTCCAGAGGATGCCAGACAGGAGCTCCCCTAGACTTTCCCACAGCCCAAAGGGGGAACAGAGGTCCAGCATGATCTAGAAGGTTAGCCAATGGTCTTCAGCTCTGGGTCCCCAGAGGTCCTTGGACTAAAACTCCCAGGAGCCTTCACCACAAGTGGTGCTGGCCAGGATTTCTGGGCGTTGCAGTCCAAGGACCTCTCGGGGAGGGATTCAAGATTGGGAAGCCCTGGCAGTAGCCCTTTTTGAGCCCCCAGGCCAGGATTTCTGGGTGTTACAGTCCAAGGACCTCTGGGGGAGGAATTCAAGATTTGGAAGCCCCGGCAGTAGCCCTTTTTGAGCCCCCGAGAGCTACATCGTGGCACAACACATCAGTCGGATTCTCTCCAAAGAGAGAAAGTCCAAACCCTTCCCCTTGCTATGGCATTGAGGCTCCCGCCTGCTTGAAGGACAGCCATGTTATTTGGCTGTGGCAAAAACAAAAAGGTTTTGTGGTTCCTGAAAACACCAGCAGTTTCAATTCAGAGTCCCATAAAAACCCTTGGGATGAAATACACCAAGTCTAGGGGACGGATCCTGGACGTGGAGAAAAAGGTCACTCTCCTTTCAGGATGGGCATCGTCCGGTCTTGAGGCCACACACGGCCCTCCCCCTGAAAGGTGCTTTAGCTGCCACACGCCTCCCCATTTTCTCATCAAAACCAACCAGTTGCTTATCGGCAATGGTGGTTCTCCGAGGGATCATCCGTTAATTTTTATTTATTTATTTATTAGATTTCTACCCCGCCCCCCTAGACAGCATCTACTCGGGGCGGCTTACAAATATCATAAAATATAAAATATCATAAAAACATCCTAAACATTAAACAAATGAATCAACAATATAGTGTATTCAAGATGGGGAATGATAGAAAACAAGAAGATAGAATTCAAGAATTGACAGAAGGGAAGGCCTGCCTAAAGAGCCAAATCTTTAAATGGCTCTTAAAAACACTTAACTCACACGGGTTTGACTGGACACTGAGAAACAACAGGTACAGGGAATCGGTCTCCTCTGTGATTTCTGTGACTTACACAGGGGAACAGGGGACGTGTAGGCTCCATTGCTTGGGAGGAACTTGGGTACCTCCAGATCAGAGCAAATTTTCATGATTTGGCCTATGATTTGGCCATTTGGGTTTTCTGGACTCTGTAGACTCGCAACTACAGATTCCTGGCTAGCACCAGGGCAGCTTTCCCTCGTGAGGTAAACGAAGGGCCAAAATGCTCTCCTGCCACCAGTAAGCTGGAATAGACGGATGGCACACAGCGTGACAGGAAGTGTTCCACTCATTCAGAAGACTTAAGATCCTTCTCTCAGCTCGACACACAGACCGTCTGAACTACCAAGTTCCAAATGAGGCGACTCTTCTACAGGAGCCTCCTGGCACAGTAGTTAAACTGCAGAACTGCAGTCCAGGCTCTGCTCACAACCTGAGTTCGAGCCCAGTGGCCTCAGGTAACCGACTCAAGGTTGACTCTGCCTTCCAAGGTCGGGATGTTGAGTAGCCAGCTTGCTGGGGGTGGGAAGCAACGTGTTGCCGGCATAATTAAATGGTAAACTGCCCAGAGAGTGTTTGAAGCGCCATGGAGCGATATATAAGCAGGACACTTTGCTTTCTATGAGGTGAACCTGTCTCAAATGAAAACCAGGCACTTGAAATCTCTGTCAATGAGGAAGGGGATCTTTCTGGCACAGTGAACACACTTTGTTTGAAAAAAGGACTTTGTGGCCATGAATCTGGGAGGATGAAAATGAAAGTCACGGAGTTTGAGTGAAACCGTAAAAGCAGCAACAGGAAAAAGAACAAAAAGCAGGGGCCAAAGAGAAGCTGCAGAATGGTAAAAAAAAAAAACCCATCGCCACAATAACAAAGGCAGAAAAATGAGGAAAGGAACTCAGGGAGAAGTGGAGCCATCTTGATCTGCTGACAACGCTCGCTCTCCCATCGAAAGGCTGTGAGGGCTCAGTGGGGACCCTATTGGGCCACAGACACACTCGGGCAGGGGGGCAGAGCTCCCCACCAAAGATACGATACTCGGCTCTAGACGTTCCCAAATGTTCCTACACAGTGGGAATTCAGAGCCGCGTCTGTGAATCACGGAGGTGTTTGCAGAAGAAATTTGAACAGCCTGCTCCTGGATCCCTCCCAGAACAGTCGCCGTTCTCCTCGAGAACAAGGCACAGCGGTTTGGGCGCACGTGTGTTCCAAAAAAGAAATGAGCTTCTGGCTGGAGGGGGGAGGGAGAGAGAGTGGGGAATATGTGGCTATGCAGCCCCCCACACACGGCAGGTCGCTATGAGACAACCAAAGCAACTCACTTTGCCTCGTTTACCTCTCCATCAGAGGCATGTGAGAAAAATGGCATGATGACTGGAGGAACAGACACACTGCTTTCTTCTTCTCACTCTGTGCTCTGGTCTGCTAAGCACTTACCTTGAATTTTTTTCTGAGACATTCTGGCGAGCGTTGCTCTGCGTCGCAGCCCCCCTGACCTGAGCTTCCAGCCTGGCATAAATTCCAGCGGCCGACTGCAAGTGAAGGAAGTCAAATGAGGATCTTGGGGTTTTTTTCCTTACCAAAAGTAATGCTAACTCAACAGCTTGCAGAACCACTGCAAGGTGAAGGACGGGTGCTTAAATAATATTTGAATCTTATTTATTCCTGTTCTGATTAATTTCATTTTTTGAGGGGGCACCTACTTCTTAAAAAAAAGATTAGGTGCCTTAACAGATCATAAGCATACAACAATGAAATATAAAATAAAATAATAGGATAAATACTGTATTTTTCTATGTATAAGATGCCCCCATGTATAAGACACCCCCAATTTTCTAACCCAAAATTAAGAAATCTAAGTGGGGCTTAGCAAGTGTAGGGGGGAAGGGATCAAAGCACTGCAGGATCGCTTTGATCCCTTTTCCCTTTATGCAACCACAGGATTGCACTGATCCTTTCCCCCCTACTTTTGCTAAGCCCCATGGGACTTATTAAGCAGAGGGAAGAGCAGAGATCAAAGGCCTTCAGGATCATTTGATCCCTGCTTTCCCCTCCACTTGTGTTTGTTCTCTCCTCAGCTTACTTCCGTGTATAAGACGACCCTCAATTCTTAGTCTAAAGATTTCAGACAAAAGTATAGTCTTATATACAGAAAAATACAGTATACCAGATGTATAATATAAAGCAGCATCTCCCCAGTCAAATGAATTACAGAGATAATCCACAGGCGTGGAATGATGGAGATTAGTGGATTATGGATAAATCAGGAAATTATCCTTTCATGGATGCCCAGAGTATGTTAGTGGCTCACACAAATCAGTGGCATTACATGAACATCATCAAAGCTCACTTCTTTGTTTTCTTTCGATTTTGTCCGGTCAACTTCTCCTAGTCGCATTTTGATGAGGTGTCCCGTGATCTCGGCCATCCTCCGCTGATCTGCAAGAAACCCGGACAAGAACAGAGAAACAAGAGACCTGTCAGTGCGCCCCACACTCTTAGGGCCAGCTCGCTGTGGCTGAGCACACTGCCAGATTTGCTCTGCTGATCGAACGGGCGAATTTGATATATTTCCCCAACCCCCGGCTGCACATTGCAAAGGCTGACTCAAACAAGTACAGCCCAGTTCATGCGACCAAAGTGGCTTTCGTCTTCTCTGTTGCTAGGGGAGCATCTACTTTTTCAAGTCAGAAAGATTACATGGGTGTTCCCATACAGTTAGTTGTGATACATTCCTGTCAGGACACACACACGCGTGTGTGTGTGTGTGTGTGTGTTGGCAGTGTTTTGGTGCTGTGCACAGTTAGGGTCTAATGTTCAGGCCCCAGAGGGAATATGCAAAAAAAACGAAGCATCATTCATTCATTCATTCATTCATTCATTCATTCATTCATTTTATTGCGCTTGTATCTCGCCCATCTAGACAGTGTCTACTCTGGGCAGCTCATATCAAATAGAATAAAAACAATTAATATATATCATCAATTTCACAACAGTGAACAATCATTCAAGATGGAGATAAAAGATAAATCAGGTCCGATCCCTCCCACATGACTGTAATGTGGGAGGGATTGGACGCTCGTCATGAGTCCTGTCAAATACAGTAAGCTTCCGATTATGTTGGAAGGCCCTTTCGTTGTGAAGCAAAAGCTTAGTGCTGTAAATTACTTCACTGACAAGTCTGAAAGCAGACTTCAAACATTCATGACTATAGCTTAATGTCTCTTCTCTACAATCTCTCCAAGTCCGGAGAAGATTGGCCCTCAGACATCCGAGCTATACATCCACAAAGTGGGTCCCCCCCAGGAAAATGCCCTTTAGTAGCCGGATTCCGGAGAAGATTGGCCCTCAGACATCCGAACTACGCATCCACAAAGTGGGTCCCCCCAGGAAAATGCCCTTTAGCAGCTGGACTGGAGAAAACCAAACTTCACCAAACTTGGAGGGACTGTAGAGGAGAGTCATGGGAAGCTTCTCTGTGATTTTAATATCTCTAGGTGCTTGGGGTGCCATGTTACAGCCAAACAAACCAATAAATCAAAAATCACTAAAAATTCATTGATTCATATTTGCTGGGGGAATTGATTCGTACAAATACGAATCAACGAATTAGTGATTTTTGAACAAATTTAGAGTTTTGTTTTTTTTAAATGTGCCCATTCTAATACATACGGCTCTGGCATTCATGTGCCAGTATTTTCAAGAAGACACCTTACCTTCTTCTCTTTGAGCATCCTGGTTGAATCGAAGTGATCTGGAAGCGTCCCACTTGTTCTGCTGCATGCTTACTCTATCAAAAAGGCAAAGAAGCTATCAGAAGTAAAACAAATCAAGAGGTCAGTGCTCTTTTCTTCTAGAATGCAGGTGGGGTGATCTCAGCTAAGCCCTCCTCAACGGGAGGAGCAGATGAGGACTGCCAACTGCTCCCATCTGCTGCTATGTGCCATCGAGTCAGAACTTATTTATAGCAATCCAAGTAGTGAGAAATTTAAGGACTGCCAGTTCGGTCCCCCAGGGGGATTTCATGGCTGAGCAGGGATTCGAATCCAGGACTCCTGAGTCCTAGTCTGTCACTCAGTCCAATTTACAAAACAGGCAAGCTTTCCCTTGGAACGGCTGCCGAGTGGGGTTCTTAAAATGGATTATTTTGGTATTACTTGTTTTTTATTTGTTTATACATTCATTCATTCATTCAATTTGTATCATCTTCCCATTAGTGCTGAGATTACTGTATTCATCGATCCTTTAAATATTTTATACTCATTGTTGCTAACTTAAATACTGCTGGATTGTTGTACCTTACTGCATTAAATGTATTTTGGTATTATTTGGTTTTTTGTATTTGTTTATTCATTAGTTCATTCATTCATTCAATTTGTATCCTGTTCCCATTAGTGCCGAGATACTGTATTCTTCAATCCTTTAAAGTATTTTATACACATTGTTGCTAACGTAAATACTGTCTTTCAATTGTTGAAAGCCGGGGCCTTTTTAAGGAGAAAGGCAAGTTAAACATGCTTTAAGCAAACAAACAAACAAACAAATATAACTTAAAATGAATGGAAAGCAGCCACTGCAACGCTTGGAAAGCAGAAAGGCAGCCTGTACCAAAATATTTTTGTGCCAGATTATACCACTAATTTTGGCAACTTTTAAAAATACATTTTTGAGTGCTCTTTGGAAAGTCTTGTGGGGAAAGGTCATGAACATGTTGCCTGTTCAACAGCAACCATTCCTTGAGCCGCTGGCCACCAACAGCTGCCCACTCTTGAAGCCCCCTCAGACACGGAGCCGACCAGAATCGCCAGATCCTCTCCAGATGTGGGCCAAGTCCTCCAGAGGTTTCTGGAGGCCAACCCCGATCAGTCCAAGCAGCCTCCATCCCAAGTGCTGAGAGATATTGGGGGAACTGTAGTCCATCAACATCAGAAGGGCTGCCCGTTGACCACCCCCAGAGCTCAGAGATGCATCATGTAGGTCTTTCCTCCCACACGATTCATTCTGGGAACCGAGAGCTCGCGTAGCATCTCCCCCTGAGCTACAGAAACAAATCCTGCTGCTAAAGCAACAAGGAAACTTATGGCATCGGATGCACTGAATGAAATGGGTACCATCCATTCAAGCTTCTGTGAGATGAAACTTGTTGCATTTTAAGGACTGATAAGATCCCCACCCCCCCAGACTCCTTGCAGGAGACTAACATGGTCATCCGCCAAAAAATCTTGCTGCTGAAAACCTCCTTCTCCTGCCCCCATGCTCAGTTTGGTCTCCCATGTCAGGGGGCTCCTCATGAGCCACCGTAGTAGTCTAGGTATGATATTGGGTTTCTGTAACCATTACTAAGAATTAACCGTCCTTCTGCTTCCATGATAGGCCACAGTCTACTAACCAACTTATTGTGGAGGATCCTCTTATAATCTTTCAGCATTCTAGCAGCATTTTAGGCACTCCGCGTTTCTCAAAATCCCATCTCCTCTGCCTACCAACACATCACAAACAATGTATATAATGACATATAAATAACCCTCTTGGAGGCAGGCTGGATAATTCAGTGAGTTATGGATCTGGCTGCAGAGCCAAAGGCTAGCCATTCAACCACCCACTGTGGGTCCTTGGAGAAAAATCAATCTATGTAGCCCTGGGCAAGCTTTATGGTACCAAAGCATCCCCAGAAGAAGCCATCTCAGAGTATTCTTTGCCTAAAAAACCCTAAGAAAGGTTGCCCTAAGTCAGAATTGACTTGACTTCTTATCCCTCTCGGTGGGACTAACATTCTTTTGACAGAATGAGTGGGGGGACGACTTAGTGTACCAAAGGCTGAGCATTACTGTCACAGCATCCAAACCCAGCCAACCACAAAGCTCTGATCTAGAAGTACAAGCCAGTCTGAAGGTCGCTCACAATCCTGGCTTGGAGGGAGAAGCACAAGCCGCAGTCTGGTCTGTTCAGATGTCAACGGCAAACTATGCTCCCTGCCAAAAAGGTTGGTGGCTAACTGAACAAATCAGAAGAGGAAGGAAGTATCAGAGCCCACGTCTCATCCCTCTAGCACCAAAACAGGAGGTTCATCTAAATGCAAGCCAATCTAACAACTGGAAAGGAGGAATTTTCTATGGAACCCTTTTTCAATGAGTGCTTTGCTGACAGCACCAGATTCCCACATAGCTGGAAAGCGTAAAGGATCGTCTGAGTTTTAAAAATGCTAAATTGTTCCTTGCATTCAGAAGTACTGAAAACAGAGGTTCAACTGAGGTGACAATGGGCCATCACCCCGACAGACTCGCCACCACAGGTATGTCTTTTTGAGACATTAAAGCCACCTGTCAATGTTTTAAATTCACACTCACTCCCCTTTTAGCCGTGCTTCCTCAAAACATTTACTTACATAAAAGGAGAGGGGTCTCGAGAATTGGCCTGTCAAGAAAAAGGCAGAGAGATACAGCACAGGGTGAAAACGGTATTCTGAGATATATTTTTTGATCAGTTTCACCTGTTTAGAATTTGCAACCCACACTGTATTTTCTCTCAAGTACAGGACATAGTTCAAGTTTTTAGAGAGAAATTATAACGGGGTTCTGCAATAGTTGCAGAACAAAGTATAGCATTTCACCACAAAAAATATATATCCTGTGGACTGCAGGTGGAAAATTTTTGGAGGCATCAGGAGCCAGGTTTACACCTCCAGGTGCCATTATTAACTTCACCATGTCCAGAAACAAACAGAAAAGATAAAAAATGAAAACCCGAGTGGCTAAAATTTCACATCCAGTTTTATTTGGAGGAGGAGTTAGAGGGCCTTGTGCCTGTTTTATTACAAAATCACATCCCCCGGAAGCTTACAGGTGCAAGGTGTTCAATTTGGACTTAGCTGGGGAGAGAATCCTGCATGAACTGCTGATTGAACTTTACCCACTTTTTTGCTGTAGGCAGAAAGCTGGAAATAACCAAGTCAGTAGTGACCACCTTGTCCTGCTATAATCAACCGCATTAAACCAGGATTGAATCACGGAATTGTAGAATCATGGAATCATTGAGTTGGAAGGAACCTATATAAGGCCATTGAGTCCAGTCCCTTACGAGTCTTTAAAAAACACAGATTTCTCACAACTACGGAGATCACAGATGGGCGGGATACAAATCAAATAAATAAATAATAAATAAATAAAATAAAGACCCCGCCAGCCTGTGGAGGCTGGTAAGTGGCCCAGTTGGCCTGGGGTGCTGGTGCTGGTGGTGCTCCACCACAACTAGGGTGTTGCGCCTTGTGCTTCACACAAAGCACAAAGTACCAACGTCTAATCACTAGAAACATTCCTCTTGTGTTATTACTTTAAACAGTCTGATTTTCAAGACTGGTTGGAAGAACAAGTTAAACTGAAAGCAAAGTAAAGCAAGCAAGACAAAAATGAGTACCTTTTCACCATAAAACATGCTTCCATCGCAGTCCTAATGATCAGGAGTACCTTATCGTCTTAAAAAGACATGAACCACTTCTGTAACAAATCTAATTCTTGTGTCCACGCAGCAAAACAGCAGCTATTGTCCTTTTGTGTAATTTAATTTATTTGCACAAAGCATCGTACTTGAACAATTTTGCTTGGTTTGCACGCGCACACACAAACTTGATCCTGTCATCTTCTTTTGTGTCGAGTGCCACGAAACAACATACCCCTTTGTAAGGCAAGGAAAATCATTCTACTAGTCTTCATTCTCATATGTGAGGACAGGACACATGAATATTTGCATCCTTACTAGATACATGGTAACCAAAACCCTTCCAGCGGTATGCCACGTTTATTTATTGGATTTGTATCCCGCTCATCTAGACCAAAGGTATACATGATTTCCACAGTTGTGGGTAGGGAGAGAAATGAAATGAAAAAGAACCTAGAGGGAGAATGGAGAATATTGCTCTTCCTCACTTCTGCTTTAGGAACTTTTACTTTAGGAACTTGGGAGAGGTCGAAATGCAACAAACGTGGCATTAGGGCCACCCTACCAATATCTCAGACTTACCTTCTCCAGCGACTTCTCCTTCTTTTGGACACTGGGTGAAGACACTTGTTTCTTTGGATGTTTCATAAATTTCTTTGGCCTCTCTTTTTTCCCTGCTGACCAGAAAGACCTGTTAGCCAAGCACAATGAAGCACAAACCATAACTAGAAAGATTTCATAATACCCTGTTTCCCCGAAAATAAGACCTAACCTGAAAATAAGCCCTAGTAGAATTTTTCAGGATGCTCGCCATATAAGCCCTACCCCAAAAATAAGCCCATGTTAAGTGAACCCCTGCCCTCCACCCTTGTGCAGCAACCAGAAGATGATGACATGACTGTATTTGAATAAACATAGATTGTTGTACATTAAAAAAAAAACATCCCCTGAAAATAAGCCCTAATGCGGCTTTTGGAGCAAAAATTAATATAAGACCCTGTCTTATTTTGGGGGAAACAAGGTACATGTGCCAACAAGTCAATTCTGACTTATGGTGACCCTTTTCAGGACTTCCTAGGTAGAGAATCCACAAAAGTAGTTTATCATTCTCTCCTTCTAGGGCCGCTCTGGGACCATGCAGCTTGCCCGAGGCTACAATGGCTGGCTCAAAGGAAGCACAGTGGGGAATCGAACTCCCAACCTTTGGTTCTGCAGCCAGATACTTTTAAACCACCAAGATAACCAGTCGGCTTAAGATGCCCAAATTCTCACTGTACGATCACGAGTAGCATCTCCTCCTTTCCACCCAACCTTTGGCTCTGCAGCCAGATACTTTTAAACTACCGAGATAACCAGCCGGCTTAAGATGCTCAAATTCTCACTGTACGATCATGAGTAGCATCTCTTCCTTCCCGTGCTTATCACAGTCACACCAGACAAGCATCAGAGGAAGCCCCATTGTTGGGACCTCCAGTGCTTCTTGCATTGTCGGAAACTAAGCCACCGAGTTGTACTAGAACCAAAGAAATGAATAGCTATTATGTTCCATGAGCATCGTTCACCATTGGAGTTGGCTAACACCATTAGGACACCACTAAAATATGATGAAAAGTCTCCTACCCCAATGTTTCATTCAAGCTGTGGCTGAAAAGCTCTAGGGGATCTATGATGGAGGATGAAGGAGAATGGCCAACTCTGAAGCAAGAACCTTTCATATGTGCTGGCAAAAAAACCTTTAATGTAAACGTTCCACTCAGCGCTGCTCGTTAGGCAGGCTAAAATCCCAGGACCTACACACCAATGTGTTTCAGGATTTGCTTTTCCGTACATAAAGCTTCTTTCTTGGGCCAACAGTCAAATCCCCTCTTGGTGCTCGCCAGGAAATGGGCCAGCCATGACCACCCAAGGTAGCGTGTGTGGCAGATGGGGTGATGTGCCCTGGGACTTGGGTGGTAACTGGGCAAGCCGCATGCTCCCAGAAAGAGCAGGAGGAGTATTAAATAGGAAGAAAATCTTGAGAGGGTCAATACAAGGCACAGGCAATTTAACAGAATGTAACAATAACAAATATTAGCAGAGAGGCTCTGCTGGTCACAGAGCTAACCAACCAGCTAACTAACTATATTTTCACCCTGCCTTTCTCCTTAAAAAGGACCCAAGGTGACTTACCGTATTTTTCACTCCATAAGACGCACCTTTCCATAAGACACACCTCGTTTTTAGGGGAGGAAAACAGGAAAAAGACTCCATAAGATGCACCTCATTTTTAGGGGAGGAAAAGTGGAAAAAATATTCTGGCAATTTCGGCCCACTGGGCCCATGGGGGTGGAGGTGGGGGGAGCCTCGGAAGGGTCCGAAAGTGCCTTCCAGGGCCCTTTGGAGGCTCCCTCCACCACCATACTCGGCCCATGGGGGTGGAGGTGGGGGGAGCCTTGGAGGCTCCTCCACCACCACCCCTGGGGCCAGCAGGGGCAAAATTGCCAGCTTCCAGGACCCTTCTGAGGCTTTCCAAGCCTCCGAAAGGTCCTAGAAAGTCGTGATTTTGCTGCCGCTGGCCTCGTGGGGGGGGTAGCTGAGGCTTTCCAAGCCTCCGAAGGGTCCTAGAAACTCGTGATTTTGCCGCTGCTAGCCCCACGGGGGGGTTCCACAGGGCCAGCAGGGGTGAAATCGCCAGCTTCCAGGATCCTTCTGAGGCTTTCCTCCGAAGGGTCCTGGAAGGTCACGTTTTCACCCCCGCTGGCCCCACGGGTGTGTGTGTCCAGCTTCCAGGACCCTTCTGAAGCTTTCCTCAGAAGGGTCCTGGAAGGTCGCGTTTTCACCCACGCTGGCCCCACGGGGGTGTGGGGGGGTAGCCTCCGAAGGGTCCTGGAAGGCACTCTCAGACCTTTCTGAGGCTCCCCCACCATCCCCCCCCCACTGGGCCCTGGGGAGCGCTGTTTTACAGTATTCACTCCATAAGACGCAGACACTTCCCCACCACTTTTTTGGGGGGGTGGGAGTGCGTCTTATAGAGTGAAAAATATGGTACATCATTAAAAGACAGCATTTAAAGCTAACAATGGTGAGTGTACAAACACCAAAAAAGGTCAAACAAATGCCATATTAAAAGAAGTAGTCTCTTGAGGCGAAGATCAAACGCACAGTGTGTTGACATCAATCCCTTGGAAGGACATACCTGGTTTCTTGTATACAACTTCCTCTTCATCACCGACTTCATCTTCTGTAACCTCCGAGCCAGTGGTGTATTCCTCGTCTTCGGAAAGCAGCAGCTGTTGCTTCTGTCATTGTCCAGGAAGAAATATAACAAGGAACACTTTTCTCTTCAAAAAGACTGCTCGTCATTTCTTTTCCCCCAGTCCCTGCCACCGAGCCACCTTTTCTTAGGCTTGACAAAACTGCCTTTTCAAAGTTGGCACTAGCAACTTCGGTTCTTAAGGAATAAGTTTTTTCTCCTCCATGAGGTTGCATGACAACCATTGAGTTGCAGGTATATAGACCACCACCGAAAAGGCAAAAGTAACAGTTAGCTAAAAGAGATGGGCGGCCTTTTCAAAGTTGGCACTAGCAACTTCGATTCTTAAGGAATAAGTAGCATCACAACCACTGAGTTGCAGGTATATAGACCACCACCAAAAAAGTAATGGTTAGCTAAAAGAGATGGGCACGAACTGCCAGTTTAGCAGTTCCTGCCAATTCATTTATCAGGCAAACAGGCGTATGGGCACGAACTGCCAGTTTAGCAGTTCCTGCCAATTCATTTATCAGGCAAACAGGCATTTCAGCGCTTCCCAGCCCCGCCTCCTCCAGCAGGCGCCCAGTCAGAGGCAGCGCCCAGAAGAGGCGGGACAGGGGAGCCGGAGCGCTGCCTTTGAATGGGCGCCTCTTGAAGGAGGCGGGGCTGGGACACCCCAAACACCTGTTTGAACTGGCACAAACTGCTGAATTAGCGGTTTCTGCCCATTTCTAACAGTTTAAAAGGAACTGAGTATTCTGAGAGATTGAGTATTTCGGAGCTTTACATGGAAACGGCTTCCAAGCCAACATTTGCAATTAATGTATAGCTTATTTCTCTGCCACCTTTCGCTTAAATCACCTCACACATCTGTCCTGCCAGGGTAACACACTTCAGACTAGACAATGAAGTATAATGTACATTTTAAAACATGAAAAGTAACTAGAAGGCTTTGGGAGAAAAGGGGCAGAACTGAGTTAAAATCTGCACTATTAACATTTTTAGCACAAAAATATTTTTCACTGCTGTTTTCAGGAAGGCAGTAGAAGGGCATCGCTTTACTCTGCTTCCCAATGCAAATGGCTCTGCCACACAAACATTCTGCCACACAGAACTGTTGTGTGGCTCGCATGCGAGGAGGACAACCAAGCTTCAGGCTCCTTCAAGTGTGAACATTTAACATAGCTCAGGAAGACTCTCAAAGGGACATTGCTTGGAAAACTTACTTTTCTGGACAAAACAAACAAACAAAACAAACCAGAAGCTTTCAGCCAGTCTGTGACCATTCTAGGAGCTGCCTTTCAGAAAAGTAACATTTCCACAAGGTCTACTTGGTTGCCCCCCCTCCCCATCCCAGTGGTGCCTCTCAAGACACTGACTTGATCCTTCTACCGCCTCCTTGGGATTTGTAGGTGGAAATGAGAGATGATAACCAAGCAAGGGCACTTCAGCTCAAACCACGGGAAGGTTGCTGCTGGCTGCTTCAGGCACAGCTTAAAAACATCAGAGACAAGACAGAACCTGGAAGTCCCACAGAAGCCGTACCGATCAGAACAGGAATCCCCTGGCTTCACCTTTTAAGCCTAACCTCCCAAAAAAGACATGGGGCGATTGTTTCTTTTTGAAAAAGAAAACAACCACCATATTCAATGATAGGGAAGGCTACTGCCAGGCGTAGGAGAACTAATCTAGCTTCAACTGCCCATTCCCTGGCTTGAGCCATCTTCCAGGATGGCCAAGTCTCTTTCCGTCCCCAGACCAGGGAGGAAACAAGACTTGAAGGGAATTAGATAACTGATATCATCCCATACTACCTAGAGTTGAGAACTGTATACTATTAAAACAAAAATGAATATTGCCCAAGAAATATTATGACTGCAAGTCCATTAAGCTCATAGAAGCTGCACATCCAGCTACCTCCTCATCCTAGCATGGCAAAGGGACCCTGTTTTCAAGGAAAGGGGTGGGAAGAAATTTGATATCATGATGAAGCCTCTTGAAGGGTAGACCAGCCTCGCACAGATTACACCAAATGCACAAAATGTCTCACAAGGGTACTAGATAACGCATCCACTTCCTACTATATCCTTTCAATAACACACAAGTTTATCTACTATACTTCAGTTCCAACGTTCTTTTGAAAAGCTGAATTGCTTAAACCATGATTCCAGGGTTCTTCCATAGGAGCAGTGTTTAAGGATAAACCTGGATTTGCTTGGATGGAGAAAATCCACCCTATCTGCAATCCAACTACCGTATTTTTCGCTCCATAAAATGCACCTCTCCATAAGACGCACCAAATTTTTAGGAGAAGAAAACAGGGAAAAATAATCTGTTTTCGTCTCTCCATAAGACGCACACTTTCCATCCCCCTGTTTTGTGGGAAAAGTGTCTTATAGTGCGAAAAATACGGTATTTGCTGAGGTTGTAGTTTTTTGGGGCTGTCTGGCTATGTTCTTGAGGTTTTTCTTCCTAATGTTTCGCCAGTCTCTGTGGCCGGCATCTTCAGAGAACAGCAGGAGGCAGAGTTGTGACTCCAGTCCTCTGAAGATGCCGGCCACAGAGACCGGCGAAACGTTAGGAAGAAAAACCATAAGAACACGGCCAGACAGCCCAAAAAACCTACAACCACCATCAGATCCCAGCTGTGAAAGCCTTCAAGAATATGTAATTTGCTGAGTTCATTGTACCAGGTGTGCAGAAGCAAACAGAATCATTGAATCATCAAATTGTGAAGTTGGAAGGGGCTTATGAGGCCATCAAGTCCAACCAACTGCTGAAGGCAGGGATCCAAATCAAAGGGTATCTGCTAGGGGGTTGCCTACATTTCTCTTTAAGGCCTCCAGTGTTGGAGCCCTCATCACCTCCCATGGCCGTTGGCTCCACTGCTTTACTGCTCTAACAGTTAAGAAGCACACGGAATAGTTGAGATGGCAACCTTGGGGCCCAAGCAGATGCAACACTACAGGTTGCCATGGAAAAAGCGACCGGTAAAGGACCTCAGAGTTTGAGAAAGTTACATTTTGGGGCCACAACTCACCCAACCCCAAATGCCCCAGCCAGCATAGACATCTTGGCTGAGAGATGCTGAGAGCTGAAGACCAAAAGATACCTTTTCCAAGCCTGAATGTACGCAATGCTGATCGGTCAATAATATACAAAACACAAAAATGATCATCACATGGAATGGAGGTAACTGGGATAAACCTACCAGCTGCAGAGTCCAATTCTTGAGGGAAAGGAACTGCAGAAGAAGAGAAAGAGAAGATCAGCGTGGGTGGAAATATGAGAGAAGGGGGCAGCCTCTTTTATGGCACCCGTTTGCCCCTAGACAAGCCACTCCACCATATCAAGAACAACACAAGGAGCTGTGAAAATAATTTCAGTGTACAGTGGTGCCTCGCATAGCGAGGTTAATCCGTTCCGGATCAACCTTCGCTATGCTGAAGCATCGTTGAACGAGGCAGGGAATTCCATTGGAATGCATTAAACATGGTTTAATGCGTTCCAAATGGGCCGAATATTCACCGTTCAGCGATGCTTCTTAATGGCCGGCAGCCATTTTCGCGCCCTCCCCTCGCTTAACGAGGGCGCAAAAATGTTGCGCGCGGCCATTTTGGGCCATTTCCGGGCTTCCGGCGGCCATTTTGGCCGCTGAACAGCTGATCGTCGGGCTTCGTTTTGCGAAGATCGGTAAGCGAAACGCTTACCGATCTTCGCAAAGCGAATTTTGCCCTATCTAAAAAACATTGAGCGATCGCATTAGCAATCAAAAAAAAGGGATCGCTATGCGATTTCGTCGTTGTACGGTGCGCTCGTTAAGCGAGGCACCACTGTATAAACCAGAATTTTCCGGGAATGCTTTGGTCAGCAGTCCATAAAGGATCTTGAAGGGAGCATGTCGGCCTGCTTCCACCCCACGGAAGACCAGAGTCTGAAGCAGAGTGCTTCCACTCTCGGTGGAGATGCTCCATGTTTATTTATTTTAGATTTTCCAACTCCATGCAAGTTGGAACCTCGAATCCAACTCAGCTGAGACATCTCCGCAGACCACCAGGAGGCTTTGCAGCAGACCTGCCACGCTCTTCATACGGCATTGCAAGGAAGGACCCAGGCTAACACACACACACACCCTTTTTGTGGAAGGACTGGTGGTTTCTATTATGCCCAAAGAGCCAACTAAGGTTTTTGCAAAAGCAAGGGATTGAAATGCAGAATGAAACAAAGGAAGGATTACACAGCTCAATCATGTAGGGGTGCACTCTTTCATGCTTTTCAACAACAATCTCCAGAATTCCTAGCAACTGGAGTTGTTTGGAGGTATACCTTCTTTAGCATCTACTGGGCAGCAAATGCTGGAAAAGGTGATGGTTGAGGTAACTAACCTTCAAGATCTCCACAGGGATCTTCTCTCTCCTATTTTCCGAAAATTTCCGGGAAGATCCGATGAATTTTATATTCTTTTGCTGCTCTCCAATAAAGTTTCCTACATTACTAGTAAAGACTGCACTGTCGCTATAGCTTGCCGCAGTCTCCTGACCACATAAGGTTTCCAAGTGCCCCCCGCCCTGGTTAAGAGATTTCTTCTTTAACTTAACTTTCCAGGATAGCTGGGGTGGCGTATTGATGGTTATTATTAATTTCATCTTATATCGTGTGACTGCTGTGATGTTTTAAAAAACTTTTATATCCTCCAATGCCGCTGGCTAACTTAGAACTTCTTTTTTAACTTTAGTGTCGTAAAAGAACCAGACAGTGCACTGATGGTGACATGTCTTG